TAGATAGATAGATAGATAGATAGATAGATAGATAGATAGATAGATAGATAGATAGATAGATAGATAGATAGATAGATAGATAGATAGATACTGGCTGACTGCTAGCATGGTGAGTGGTTTGCCAACCGGATGTGGGCCAGGTCTGGCAGGCATGCCACGACTGACCCAGTTGTGGTTTGGTTTATGTGATGCTGGCCCATGGATGGACCACCTCTGGCAAACTACAAGGGCTGTCATATTCTGCTGTATCTGGGCCGAGTATTAGTGCATCATGCGGTCCAGGACTGGGCCAGACAGATTTTGCTATGCGAATAACTGGTTAGAGACACCATGCTAGTGGTGGGAACATCAGTCACATCCCTGTCCAGTTTTATGATAAAGACTGAGTTGTAGTCACTTGGTTCCTAACAGCTAATAATAATAACTATAAAACTACTTGACTCTCAGTTGCACAGTATCTGATGAGTAGCTCACAAGCTATTGTTCCAATAACTGGGAGAAAATAACCCAACTGGAGCCTGGTGTACCGAGTTCTGCCTCACTTCCATCATTCATCTTTTTCTTTTCTTTGTGAGTATGGCTGAAACAGGACCTTTACAATAACAACCCTGCCGTCTGAAATAATGCAATTGTTTGATAGAAATCACAGTGAACAATACAGATTTTAAAATTTCCCCCCACAGAAAATTTCCCTGCATCTTTGTTTTGTCTCTGCCTTTCAAACAATCAGCTATTTCAAGTCATGTGTCGTTTTTTTTCTTCTCCATTTCTTTTCTTTTTCTTTTCGCAGCTCCACTACAGCAACGAGTGCAAGTTCAGAGAGAAGCTCCTGGCCAACAACTACAACGCCTACGAGTCAGCGACCTACCCGAGAATGTTCATCGGTCTGAGTAAGGGCGGCAAAACAAAAAGAGGAAACAGAGTGTCACCCGCCATGACGGTGACACATTTCTTGCCAAGAATCTAATGGCCTCGTAAATCGACTTCGCCTCAGTTTGGGGGAGAGTTGGAGAGAAGTGGTGGAGGGTGTGGCTTGGTCTCTGAGCTGTGATGCACTTTCACTCCAAGCTTTTTGCAAGTGTGTCATAATGGACGTTTTGAAATTGTACATAATGGTGTTTTTTAAGATTTTTTTTGTTTAACTACAGTTTTATAATTGTTTTATATAAAGGCAGATGACTTTTCACTGCAGAAGGGCAGGAGGGAAGGGGGGGAGGGGTGGGTCAAAATGTTTAATCTATTATTTATGTTTTCGTTTTCTAATTTATCGAGTACGTGCTGCTACTGAATGAAATTCTGTCTTTGGGTGTTTTGATTTTTCTTTGCACAGATAGGAAAGCTAGCAAGCGTGCACAGAGAGTGCCGGGGACTTAATGTTGGGGTTTTTTTGTCATTTTATTTTTGTTATTCTTATGTTTGGAACGGAAAACCCTTCGGAGTCTTAGCATACAAAAACAGAAATAGGGCGCAAATGTCGTTTGTGTGAGAAATGGCACTTAGTGTTCAAAACTTCAGCTCTTTTGTTACCTCCCTTTTTATTTTGATTGAGTTGGCTCTGCTGCTGGGTTTGGAGTCAGCGCCTAATTTTGAACTACCTTCAGCCTTAAGCCGGATTTAAGTTTCAGGATTTGTCTGAAGCAGCATGTTCCTGTGTTCCATGTTGTACCCCTCAGAGTAGCTTCCCTGTWGCATGATGTGCTCTTCCTCTGTAAACCAACCAAATATCATGGCAGCGAGTGTTTTGCTCCTCTATATGTCCCTCATGGAACAGAAATTTGACAGGATGTAATTGAATCGGGGTTGCTCACAACGTTAACACAACGACCACTTTTTGTATGCAATGTTTTTATTGTTTGGTTTCAAAAGCTCTACTTGTTCTTGTAAACACTATYGATGCATATAGGTCTAATATCTTCCCTCTTTTCTTTGTTGACGGGGGTTTCCTGACAAAGCAGATCCTCACTCGGTCCCCTGTAGGCTCCGAGTCTTTATGATGTTAAAGTATAAACTAAGCTGCAGAACCAGCTCTTATCCAGAAAATCAGGTTCAAGAGTTGCACCACCTCTTTGTTAGTTAGCATTGAAGAACCCCCACAATGCCAGGTGCTGGGGTCTGGATGGATTACCATGACCCATCAGACCAAGGACCACTTTGTGACTGCTAATTCACTTTTCCCAGTTCAATAGAAAAATAATACATTTAACAAATGGCAAAGCAGTATGATAAAACTTTTTTTTGCATTTCCTCCCAAGTTCCTCTCATTGCAAGTAGAAAGATTTTCATTTAGTGTTTCTAGTCTTAATCTTTGTGATTTAAACCATGCCGTTAGTTTTTATACAGCATTGCTCAGAGCTTTACAACAGAGAGATTTAAATAACAAACAGCAGGGTTTGTAAAAAAACACTCAGATATAATGGCATAGCTTTAACTTGTTTTTTGTGGGAGGGGATCAAGTTCACCAAAAGGTTTAAAAATTGAACAATCTCTCATTTGGTTTTGTTCAAACCAGCACCACAACTTCGTGGGGAACGTGTGGCTCTAGTGCCTAATTGAAATAATATCATCTTACTGTTGAGAGAAAGGCAGAGATGGACTTGAGCGGAGGAGGGGAGAGCWAACTCCACAGCCTCCACTGTGTCTGTTTATAGCTCTGCCAGGGGGGTGAACTCTGAACTTCTTGACCGTCAATCTCAGTCAGACACATACGTCCCGCATGAGAGAGAGGAATCCCCTTTGACATGATATAAGTGGAGAATTTGGGAGTTTACAGGCAAGGTCAAAGAGCTGAAATGCAACGCAAAGGCAATAGCCTTGACTCTAGAATGGGACTATTCTTATTTTCAAGTAAGCCTCTATTGTCAGCTGTTGGATGAGTGGAAGTATGAGTCCACTAGTTTGGACAGACAGACGCTATCAGTTTTTTTTTAATCAATAATAAGCTTTATTTGTGAAGTTTTCRCAGTCTTCACAGAGGAGTGTCACACATTTGTCTTCACCTAGAATAGTTTCTGATTTTTTTTAAAATATAGACGTTTTTGTCTCCTGCAGTCACAGTGACAGCTGTTTAAAAAAGCAGAGCCTTACAATTTTTTACAGTTTATAACTTGATTGAAAAAAGAAATGGCGCCACGTTCTTTTTGTTGTTTCAACTTTACTGGTGATACGATTAAACAGCTGTGATTGGCTGTTTTACTGTTAGGGGAAAGCTGGTGCTTGTTTCATGTTTTCTGTAATTACTAAAACCAGAAACGCTGGAAGATGTACATTTTTTTTTTCATTTTTTTGCATAAAAATGTACAGTAAGCAAAAACTAAAGCTGTCACTAAAGTGTAGTAAGGATTTTTGCTTGGTCTGCATTGTGACTTTAGTTAAATATTTGGTTTGAGATAACCAGCCATAAGAGTTTGTCCCTTTAGTAGATCCAATTTAGCACCCACTGTCCAGTTTTAAGCCTCTTTCACACTGCGGGATGGCCTGGGCCTTGCCTGARGCAACAAACTTCAGGGCATTTTTAAATTTTGGACTTCAACTTAACTATTTAAGTTTCGCTTTTGAGTTTGCCAAACTTTGATTTCCATGTTTTTGTAACTCAACCAAAAGTTGTAGAAACTTCAAGTTTTAGGTTGTAAGAACTTTGTGTGCTGAGTCTTCTACTGCACATGAAAGTAGCAGTAACGTTAAAATTTAAGTTGTACAAACTATGAATCTCATGTTTCTCATACTCCAGTTATTATAAATTTTACCAACTATAAATCCTGAATACTGTGAACTTCACTGTGAGTTGCAATAATTTAAATTTTATCATTGCGTCAATGTTTTTTCTTTTTTTTTTTGTAGGAAAAATGTTTAGCAGAGAGTTATCTGCTACTGTTGACTACATTAGCATGACCATGCATCAACATAGACAACACCTTACTCAGCCATTGGTGACAYTTGTCTGTCCTGGCCATTTTCCCTCAACATGTCTCTGACACAGACCTCTCACTCGTGGTGTCAGCTACAGTCAGTAACCAAAACTTAACACAGATGCCAAATCAAGCCTGAAGTGTCAACAGAACACAACTGGTTCATGAATCACAGATTAAAGTGTTTGTCTTTTTCAGAGGTGAGTTTTCAGAAAATTATCCATTTCAGCAACAAAAAGGCGGAGCCAAAACTCTGACATCTGAGCTGATAGGAGGAGGAAGCAGGAAGAGGGAAAACAAATACTTTCAAATCGAGTTTCTGCTCATTCTTTTAAACATTATTAACACTAAAAGTTTGGACTGGATAAATACAAACCAGAAGCATAAGAACAAAAGTTATCTCTGCGAGAGTAGTTCACTATACCTTGAACTCAAAAGTCAACTCCCAAAGTTGTCTTTCCCACATTTCAAAACAAAAGAATGTAAGTTAGCAGCACTTTCAACTGTTGCAATGACCTACAACTTAGAKATATAAGTACTGACAACTCACAAAATAATGTTTAAGATTACAAATGCCTTGGATTTTTGGACCGACTTAAATTATTGTGCCCAATATGTCAGACTTAGTTTTTCAAGTTTTTTCAACTGAAAATTGTTCTTCATCCCAAAAAAATGAAGTTGGATTTTTCCGCTCATTTCTAGTTTCCCTTCACTGCTCCGTCTGGGATTTCTCCCATAGACAAGGATTTCGCTGGCAAATTTTTAGTCGAACCAATCAGAGAACAGAACGTTGATTTTCTGTGCAGTGTCTGCTTGTAGTTTATTTTACCTGGGCCAATCAGCAAACAGAAGGTGGAGTTTTGAACGATGTCAATGATCTGGGCAGTGTCTGCTAGTTATTTTAGCATACRACAGTGGAGGAAGTGAATGAAGCCAGTCTGTGTTGATAAGACTTCCAAATTAAAATTAATTTGTCTGACAAAGCAGCAGCTCTCATTTACAGGCGTCTCCTTCGGCTCGGTATATTTCTCCTCTCAGTAGGGTTACTTACAGCACACGTGATTTCCGGTTAGCTTCTTAGCTTAGCCTCCGTCACAGTGACATACACGCTTCAGCAGAGGCCACGCCTCCAGCAAGAATCGCTTCTCAATAGTCACGAGCCCAGACTCTCGTACGAAGCAAAGTGAAGGACAAGGGTCTGGTTTTTACCAGGCTAACTGCGGGCTGGCCTCACTACCATTTCTAAAACCTATGCGACCTATTAGAATAGAGCTGGACTGATGCCAGATTTTAACTTTGTTTTTCTTGCCAAAGATTCTCACCATTTTTATACTCCTTGCTCTCTCTTCTGTATCAGCATGCGGCTTCATCTAATTTATGCCACACTAACAACAAGCTACAGTCACAAGTACCACTGCACTAGGTTGTCTCCACGACCTTGTCACCATCACATTTGTGGCCGAGGCATGAGGCCAGTTTGGTCAGTCCTGCTTCAGGTCTTTAACAACCAAACCAGGTCAGGGCATGAGGGCTGCTGCTACCAGACCAGTGAGCTGTGCAGCCACATTGTGCATTTTTTTTAAATCACAGCATGTGTGGTTTGCAAAACTGTGATATAAGTCATGCATGAACTTTTGATGCCCACTTCAGCCTGCTTTGTACCTCGTTGATAGCTGTCCTCACATTTGGGAACATGTTTGAAATGAAGATAGGCAGATTTGCAACTATCTATTGTTTTAATCATCACTGTGTATTTTAGATCTTAACATTCAAGGCTGAAGCTTTTATGTTAAAAGGAGAGCTCCATGTACGAGAGTCACAATACAGCCTAGTTCTCTAAAATCTATGAAAAGTAAACTGTTTGAATTGATTGCAAAATGTCAAAACTACTTTGGGTGATAATGTGCAAAAACTTGTTGAACATGTTCAAAATTCAATTGCCGAATCTTTAATCCTCTGTGATTCGTGCCAAGGAAACTGAGAATGTCTGCTGACATTTCAAGACATTTTGAATAGTTTTGAATAACCTTTGCAAACTAGTCACCAACAGGCATGGCCCAGAAAGATACTGGCCTTAATCTGCAGCAAAGGACCTTCGCCAGGATGCTCTAAAGACTTTTGCTTTTTGCTTGATTTTTTATTATGAGGCGGGGTTGTCATCCAGTTTAAAGGAAGCCTAAGCTGCAGCTTATATTGTCTTATACCCCCCCCCACCCCCACAAAAAGAGCACCTACAAACCTCACTAATTGTTTGTTTTGTGTAATCAGTACATAAAAGCTGAAAGAAGGCATCCAGCAAACAGAACACAACCGTGTAACATCATGTTGTTGTGTTCATGCAAAAATATTTAATCAAGGTGTCAGGTGTGAGTAAAAAGTCAAAAAGATTTGATACAAAAACAAAAACTAGAATTTATAGAATTGCTATTTCTTCTCATTTCAAACCTCTACATTTTACAATAGTTTTCAGTGATTTTTTTTTTTGATCATTTGATTGTTAAAGCTTCAATTCTGTGTGGATCGGATGATAGGAAAGGTTGTTTGGAAATTAAATATAAAAGGCCTCTAAGACCCAGAATTATTAAATGAATTAAAAAGTGAACTATGTGAAGCAACAGATTGAAGATTTCCAGTGAAATCAGATCTTGAACTAAGGGAACTACAGAAAGTGAAGATTTCTTTAAATATATGTCGTGAATTAAATTTATGGGAAAACATTACTTACAATAATAAGATGAGAAYGTCTCAAATACCTCAGTATGAATGTAGACAAACAAGAAAATAAAATGAGTGAAATAAAATGGAGTGTTGKGAGGTTTACTTTTTAAAGTGCAGATCAATCAAGGAAAGGTGCTCCCTTACCGCTGAGCTACAGGAAATCACAGGACTTAATTTGAGCTTAGCTGAACAAGAAAATCAACATTTCCATAAAAACTTTGCAGACTTCCAAAACCAAATATGCTCAAGTTCTTGCTGCTTACTGCTGACAAAACACTAACTTACGTGCTGACAAAATATTGGTCGAGTTCTGGTTCACCTCTCTGTTGTAAATGTTCTGTTTTATTATATCCAGTCTTTCTCAGTCGTTGGTTGAACTTCCTGCAGCGTGTTGTTCCAAYGTGGCTGCGTTTATTGTCAGTTTTGTCCACGCTCCCCTCTCTAACCTTTGTGTCTGTCTTTCTCTGAGTGCTTGTGGTTTACTGCAGCTCAGCTCTGGTGGCCATGTTGTCCTAGTTGTGCCTTGTCACATTCCGGCTATCTTTACCCTGCGATATACTTTTAGAATAGATAATCATGGGAAAAATATTTACAGACAGCTGTTAGACTGTACTATATGCTCGAGGCAGTAACCCTATATTTTTCTTTATATATTTTGTAAACAGAACCCCTCGGTAACCGAAGGTGCTGGTATTTCCTTTTCAAGTGGGGGGAGGAGTGGTTTTAAGTTAACAGAGCTGGTGGGAAGTTGTTGTCTTAAAGGTGTGAGGTGCTTCTGGAATCAATAAGCGGTCAATAGGTTTAAATAAGATCACAGACTGAGGGGAGATAGTGGTTAGTTACTCTTTTTTTTCAATCTGTTTTTATTAAAAGGTTTGGAATTCCCTGTCAACATTCCACCCATGGTGTTGTGAATTGTCTTCAACCTGGATTCTGTTTATGTTTTCTCTGTTCAACCAGAGTGCCTTCAGTAGAAGGGRTGATACATTAGCACGGGGGCCAGCCACGCTGCGTGCACACGCTAGCTATTCAGTTGCAAATTGCTCAAGCAAATATCATGCAAACTGTTTCTCTAGTGGCTTTGGGCCATGCGTCCTGTCAACCAGCGAGGATCTCCACCGTAGAGCAATCCGAGCTGCGCAAGACTSGCCGTGAGAAAACTTCTCCAGCTGTCAAATCTGCTGCCAAGCTTCATTGTCTGCAGCTCTCTTCTTACAGCGMGCTCGGCTGAGATCTCCGCACCAGCGTCTAGGCCTGGCTGTGCTCAGCTGCTGCACGTGCATGCTGGTGGCTCACAGCTGGCCTCACTCGCTTTCCAGTCTCGCTGCTTTGCATAATGTGCAACATGTTTACAGTAGAATCCCTCTCTGCCCTGCGCTGACCCGTGACCAGCGCTGTAATCCACCTGCTCATTTGACTATCCAGCTGCAGCCCGAGCAGTGGCAGAAGCAGTTCCCGAGTCAGCAGCTCCGCGGAGGGTGGATCACGTTTTCTGCCAGGGGTGCAAGCTGGTTCTCAGCAGGCTGACTGGTGCTGCTGCTGAACACTGGTTGCACCTTAAAGTTCAAAATTTCGACTTTTTAACCTGATTAACCAGTAGCAAAACATGTTCCAGAACCATTTTGCAGCTTCAAGATCAGCTCATCCACAAAACAAACACAGATCTCTTGGTATCTACACATGCAGGTTTTAGGTTATTTATGTCTGAAACATCTCGAGTACAAATGTTGTCTTATGCAAATTATCGTCAGAAATAAAAAGTGGCTTGAAATGAAATTGCAATTGTTCATGATGTAAACTCAGGCTGCAAGATGCGGCCTACGTAAAACCCAACTGTTCTTGTCTTTAAATGGGTCAAAAAAGCAACGAGATGAAAGAAACGTTGAACAACATGATCATTTGAAATATTTTACTCTGACGGGGCAACTTAATTAGACTTTAACAGGTCAGTTTCCTCATTTTTCCAAAGAGGAAACAGAGTTGTTTAGGGTCACGGCACCAACGGAGCATCGCTGAATGATTTATTTTACAAATGACTGGGTTTCTGTGCTAAAACTGTTCTGTCACATGTTTCTTTATKCCTTTAAAAACTCTGCTGCCTGCAGATCTGCATTCAGAGAAAGTCATTCTGAGTCCTGTGGTCTTAYGGCAATTTTTGTATCAACTATTTTGTATCATCTGTCCTGTAGTTTTATACAGTTTAACTCTGTATGTGCTGTGCACATGGCTAAAGCCCTATTTAGGGGTTGACAATAAAACTTTATTTCCCTTAAATGGTTGTGTGTTTATATGTTCACGTTTTTTATTTATTTATTTATTTATTTATTTATTTATTGTTAGATTGTTCAGGTTTTTCTATTATTTAAAAACGTGACAAAGATTTATAGTTTCTCAATTATTTCATCTTCAGAAGCAAATGAACTTTTATGCTTCCTGTTCTGACGCTGAATCCCTTCAGACAGAACACCACATGAACCTGCTAACCTTTGGATGAGCAGTGTGAAAATAATTTAACATAACTTCTATTCCAACATACAGTGCAGTAACCTATTTTCATTCTCAAATGCATGCGAAACATTTGTGTTCTTGTTTAAAAAATATGAATACAAAATGTTTGAAACAAACAAAAAAGAAACACTTCAGCTCGGCAATGGCATAAGACGCCTCGATTCCTGTGTGGTTCTGTTAAAATGTTGCTGTTATTTTTGTATTTGTGACTTCGGTAAACGTTTCATATTTAGCTTTGTGAAACGTGTTGTTGTGGTGAAACCCTTCATGGCAGACAGCATCTCTAAGCAAGTCTGTCGCACCCCAAAAAAGTGTAAAAAAGTTTTTTTCTATTTTTATATAAAAAGAGCTGCTTTGAGTGCTTTATTTGAAGTAAAAAAAAATTTTTTTCATTGGCGGGCCAGGAGGAAGTCACAGTTGCCCATCCCTGCTCTTCCTGATGCAACC